TTTTAGATTTGCAAGAATATATCTTCGTATAATTAAATATTTATTATAAAATATAATATATATATATTTGTTTATCTGACGAAGAATATTAAGAAGTTGCAGTAATAAATGAAATAATTTATGGAAGGGAATGTTTTGAATTGTGGTGATTAGATTGATGGGTTGGTAATGGGGGTAATTGGGGATAATTGGGGATATTGATAAAAAATATATGGTATTTAAAAAAAATATATTATTTTATTTTATTTTTTATATGGAGATCGTCTTTATTATAATTTCAACCAATTATCGATATCGATTTATATTTTGCGGATCAAAAGATATCTATTTTATATTTTTTTGCGATTCTTAGATCAATTTTTTATATTCATATATATATTTTTCAAATATAGATCAATAATATATTCAATATAATTTTTATAATTCCTAAGATTATCGAATATTTTTGAAAAAAAAAAAATAATAATAATAATAATTATATATTTAAAACATCGAAATTTCATGTCATTCCATAAATCAAAATAATTATCCTAATAAATTACGACATAATATTCATAAATAATATAATAATACAAATTAGATCATAATTAAATAAATATATATCCTTTCAATTTTTCAATTTATTCTATTTAATAATATTGCTTTAGAAATAACTATATATATAATTCCATAATATATTGATCATAAATATTTTTTTTTTTCACATAATTCATAATATTTAATTTAAAAAAATATTAAACAATATATATATATTTTTATTATATATATTCTTATACTCAAGTCTCGGTCCGAATCCTACCAGATGATGGATTTGTGTCGATTAATATTCGGGAGGTCCATTTCCCTTATGCCATGGCAATCCTCACCAATAATATGCCTCCTACCACTAGGAATTGCCACGGCCCCTGACTTAGCTTGTAAATGAAGGACCAGGGCGCTCAGCGAGCAAGGGCTGTGCATCTATTTTTTACGCAATTTTCGTTGCCACGGTAAACCACAACCTTATAATTAATGAATGACCATCAGGAGAGGGCTTAATATTGCGATTGAATAAAATAATATTGCTTAATTAGAAACATATCCATCTGGGTCATTATAACATATAATTTTCGATTTTGTTATTTCCCATTTTGCCTCGAGATCGAATATATAAATAATTAAGAATTTGGGGGTAATCAAATTCTTGGTTATCTTTTTAAATTATTATTTTTTTCCTATCGATATCTAAACGGCATTTCTAGATTCATATATAATCATTTGAATTCTTTATATAAAATCATCCAATCCTACCATTATCTATTTAATAAAAAATTGTTTCATTCAAAGATTCTAAATCATCTAAAAATATTTCTTATCCAATATAAATAATTTTCATCGAATACGGCGAATAACCACATTCCACCTCCCAATTCGAAATTATCAATTACAATCGATTTAACCACATATTAATCGACCTAAAGACTAGCTATACTATTCCATTCACGACGAATATATAATATCATTATCCATAATATATTCTCATAATCTTTAAATATATAATAACAAATCAATTTTTAAATATCATAAATATAAATATTTTTAATATTTAAGAAATATAATATATATAATATCTATAAAATATATAACATAATCGATATTAAAATATATCAATCAATCAAATAATAAAACAGCACATATAAGAAATAGATTAATATATAACATATCAAAATATATATATAAAATAAAAAATAGATAAAACACATGGGATGCGTTAGCCTTAAGCATTACCAACCATGGCATACTTACACCCCACTTCAAGGGCGGCGGTGGCGCTTTTGAAGCCACAAATAGAACATGCCCCGCCATCAGGCGGCAAAACTAGCGGCGGCGCTGGATTAATAGGTCTTTAGCTGTGCCCCCCCAATCACAACGACGATCTTTTTGTCGCTTTGCGACCTTTGCCCGCTAGATCTGCTTCGAAAATGTTGTCATCCTCCAGCTTTGATCCTTTTCCTGCATTAGGGCCATGTGGTCTCACCCTGCTCAGTTGCAAGCATGCGGGAAAATACCTATGTGTAGGTTCTAGTGTGTTCACCCATAATATATCTTCGTGTTCCCAATGACAAACATGTTTTGGTTAACCACTAGCCATTTTCAATGGTTTGCAATGCAAGCGATAAATAATGTTCAGTCAAGAAAGGGTATTGGTATAGGGTTGGTCCCTATCAGTTTTACAAGGTTTTGACAAATTCACAAATATTTAAGGCGGCCCATGAGTAAAATAACATACATGTACGGAGGTTTTGTCAGATGCTCACATATTGATCACATATATATATATATATCATTGTACTTTAGGTATTTTTAGGTCGATATTTAATAATCAAACTCGTATACTATTGGATTATCAAAATTGTTGCGAATCTAGCAATCTGTTTGTGCAGTATATCTTCCATATTCGATTCTCCAGATTTGGAATTTCGATCAGTGAAACATTGGTGAACATCTTTTCGGTGGGGCTCCAAACAAAAACACCATTCATATGGTGAGACGATCATTCCAATTATTGGTCCCACCAGAAAACGATTCAGATCTACAAATCCCCCACCAACGCCCCATGTCTCCGATTCCTCAGCCCAGCCTGGATGACAGCACATACTGAGGAGTCCAATGTTGCTTGCAGGACTTGGAAGTCAAATGAAGCTGAAGACAAATCATTGGGTATACACAAGGAGATTCCTCAAACAATTCTGTAAAAATAACATGGGTCTGGGGTCTCCCGAATCGAATACACACCAAACTGGGTCCGTGTCACCTCATCGGAATCCAGCATCGTCACCACTTAAATTATATTGTTTCCCAAGAATTGGAGAGAGAGCCCTGAGACGGCGCTGAGAGAGGGTCCCAGGATCTGGACCTCAAACTACCCGCATTGCAACTTGCAACAGGTGTTTATTACAAAACTCCAAATAAATCAAGTTTGAGCCAATCAGGCCTATGTGAAACAGTGGGGATGTGTTTCAAACATCTTGTGGCACTGAAGGCCACAAAGCCTGACTTCTTCGCGCCTTCAACACGAAAGTGTCCCCCCCCATCCTGAGACCCCAGACCGTTGAGTTCATCGCCAAAAACATATCGAGAGCATAAAGGGTCAAAGGGAAATAAAGAGACAACGAGATTGGTAACCAATGATGGGATCATGTGGGACCATCATTGGGTAGAATCCTCCTTAAGATGTGGAACTCTCCCGTTGCACACCGCGGGAGAGAAGACCCGTTGCCCCCCCCGCCTGCTGCTGGGCCGCTCACCTTGACCTCGTCACGGCAAAAGAAAACGGACCTTCAGGTCTGAACATCGGCATAGCTTCAGAAGTCTCGATGTCAATGTCCCAGACTTGCTTTGAGGGAAATCTACAGGAATGCCATAGTTTGAGATTGAAAACAAGGGTTTCCTGCAGATGTTCCCGTTACAATGCAGGTTGTGTAGAAGTGGAAATAAGTGGAACAAACAAACTTCTGCCGATGAAGGATGAAAAGAAAGCGCCTCCTGATCTTTTTTCAGACGAACGCGACAGCGTACGTCGAAAGCTTCGTCAGCGATATACGTAGCGACAAACATGTAGTAGGCCTTCTTACGGCATCTTGCAGCCCAACCAACAGGGAAGCTGGGACGCTACTAGGGGCACCTGGCATCGCTACTAGGAGCAAGGACGCTACTAGGGGCTCCAAGGACGCTACTAGGGGCTCCTGGCATCGCTACTAGGAGCAAGGACGCTACATGTCAACAGTGCTCCCGGTTCTCGCCTCTAAGCGTTGTGCCAGGTTTTGAACACGACCCATGGGACTGGAATATTTGGCCAACCGCCTTGGAGTGATTGATTTCGGGGGGTCCATGTAGGCGGCATCTACTTCATTATATTCCAGTCCAATGGAGTGCCTGGGATATAGAAACTATTGGTTCGTTCAACAGATGGACAAGGTGTCGGCAATATCGACGAAGTCTGCAGCAACCCACCAGATTGATCCAGTGACGTAGTCCAGCCCGGCCACACACTCCGTCCAATTATGGAACATATATATATATATATCATATATCCATTGATCATGAAACCACCCCAACAAAGGGTAGATATGCTATATCTGGAGTGTTTGGGTCTTTAAAAATATATTGATCTTCAAACAAAAATCCGACGACCAGACTCTCCAGTCAGCCTTTCGAAAGCTGAGCGACGGTAGCACTGCACGCGGTGCAAGCGGTCTGCCATCTGCTGGTTCTTCATCAGAAATGCCAACTCAGCCTGAGCTTCTGGAAAACAGGTCAGGTCAGGAGGAGCGTCTTCCGCGGGTCCATGACGTCATGACACCGACACATCACGTCATGACACGACACATGACGTCATGACACCGGCGGTCCGTGAACGGCCAGGTCAGGGCGGCCACGGGTGGTGGTCATCAAGCGGTTGTTGCTGGGTGGCTTTGGTAGCACACATCTGAAAACCCAGGCCATGATTGGATTCTTCAACATCGAGCAAATATGAAGAAATATGTGCCGAAAGAGGTGTTCCCCATCTTCAGGTGCTGGAGTCCTTTCAGTAGTGGGTCCGTTTATGCTTAAACCCTTCAAACACATGCAAGTGGTTCCTGTTACACGTCGGTGCACCAAGAACACTTCATCTATATAACTTTGCTTGGGTGCAAGAAACACCTGATTCCCAAACCATTATGATTCCGGCTGCAGTTGCTCTAAGCTGCATAATTGTGCCAGAAAACACCATTGCAAAAACTAGCTGGGGCACAAAGTCTCAGCTTCCCAGTCTTCCATGAAAAACACTGGATGAAATCGTCAGAATAGATCGTTGAATGACAATGTAAAATGCACTTGTAAAAGCATGCAAGAGCCCCATTGGACACTACCTGTCGCTCCTTGGCACTTAGCTCCCTCCTGAGCACTAGCAGATAACCCATTCTTCTCGCGAAATCTTCGACGTTGACATGAGTTGACCACACCATCCATCACCATCCTCAGATATCTCGGAACCTCTTTCTGGGCCTCCCGGCCCCCTTGGCAAAGGTGGAGCCGATCACGTTGTTGGCGTAGCGTCCCGGAATAAATCCAGTGTATCCTCCGATTTGGGACATTCCCAAACGAGAATGAGCTTCCCCATCATGGAGTGCGGCAGTTTCCGGCCATGACACGGAAACATGACACTTCTGCTTCTTCGACTCTAGGCACTTGTAAAAGAAACATCGAACACTTCCTGAAATAGTCTGAAAATGTCTGAAATATCGGATTAGTCTGATTGATCATACAAGTGGTATGTAAGTATGGCTGCCTTGTCCAACTATCCTCCGTCCCAAAGCCACACACTGGCACACCCCGCCTGGCACTTCTGCTCCTGGAGCTGGACCTTTCCGAACCCGCACGATTCCGGTCCGCCCGGTCCGCCCGAAACCTTGGGCGGCCGATGAAAGGAGGTGCCTCTGCTTGGGGTGCCGACATGACTACACGAGTCGTGACCCCAACAATGACACCAACAGTGGCCTGTACCTTGAGAAAAAACATGAAAAAAACCATTTTGATCTGTTTTCAGCAAGGGACACTCACATTTCCCCGCACCCACCCGCCGAACTCGAGAGATGTCAAGGGTCCACAACCGGCACGGAAAGATCAGCAAAAAGAACTTGTTGGACTTGTTGGACAGGCTCATTCACTCACCCAAAAGGCCCACATCCACCCAAAAGGCCCACCCTCCCTTTGCGTTTGTTGGGCGGTTGCAGCGCCCTTCCCCCCACACGAACAGAGCGAACATAGCTCGGCTTCCTGTCTGCCTACTCCCTGGGGATCCTGGCCGTCATAGCTGCGCCCGCGATAGATCAAAGGAGTCTGGCCAAACTTCCGCATCTGGGCCTGTCAGAGTGGTGGTTGAAGGTGTAGTTCTTCTGAACATCAAGCACTTGGTCTTGCAGTTTCCCGGACTGGAAGCATGGCAATGATCAACGCGACAAGACAAAGCTATTGTAACCAGCGACCAAGAAGCTGACAGGAGATGGCAGCAACAGCAACAACAGCAGCAATAACTGCTACACACACATGCAAGAGCACATATTGATTTGACCGTACTTGACATCATGCACAAAAACCCTACAATCAACATTGATGTGTTGGAATTTTTGTTTGGCACATTTGTTGGCGATAGTTTCTGGAGATCTATGGTTACAGTATATATATATATACAAAGATATAGACGCAACCAAAGCCACTGCCATCACACACCAGGAGTCCAAAGTTCACAAGCTTCTGCAGGAAGCTTCCCACCAGAAATTCCATGAGCCTTTCAGAAAAAAAATCACAAGCAGGCACACACCTGAAGTTTATGGAATTTACCTACCCAGTCTACCCTTGAAAACTAATATGTAAGCCCTAATGCTTCCAGCACGACCCTTCAAACCCCCAAGAACTGCCTCGGCAATGGCTCGCTCGTTGGCCTTTTGGAAGGTCAGCGCGTGCACATTTTCCGCCACCTTCCCAGGCCTTGGAAGCGCGTGCGCGGTCTCCGGACCGCTGGGAGCGCTGGGACCGTCTAAGCTCACCACACATAGCCAGTATATCCAGGGAGGCCAGTGACGGTGAAAGCACCAGCCTGATGTGCAGCTGCTACTCCAAGAGCCAAGCAGAAAATGATGTGCAGCAGAGCCAAGCAGCTTATTGATGACCCAAGTGAGGTTTGTTCCAACACAATTCCAGCCTGACACCATGACTTCTGAGTTGTTTTTGTACCCCAAACCATGCCAAAGTCACTTTGTCTGAGGGCAACACCATGAGGAGCATTGGTTCCTTGCTCATTGTATTAATGTGTATAAGTATTGTTGTCTCTGTCTCTGTACGCCGTGGAAACTCTGCTGAACTTTCTCTCTCCACCCTTTCATGCTTGTGATTGACAAGGCTGGGCTGGCAATCATATATATATATGTATGTATGTTGGTTACTGTATATTAGGGCAACACCTGGAAACTCTGGAGGATGAAGCAAGCTGGAACATCGAGATACGAGCAACATTGAACATGACTGGGCTTAATTTTGCAGGACACTACTACCTACCACATCAATACATGCTTTGAGCGCTCTCTCTCTCTCTCTCATGGACCTGCGGCAGGAAGGTACCATCCTGAATAGGCCGAACACAAGACCATGCCACGACCTTGACTAAGATGTTTCCTCCGTTTGATTGGTATTTGCGTGAAACCACATGTTCAATACACCAAACACAAGGCTTCCAAAACCTGTCAACTGTCAACCAGTTGCATGCACATCTTTATCCGCACCGGCATTCTGAGTTCTGTGGCAATCATCTATATACCTGAAACATGCGTTCTATGTTTCTGTTCGCTATTTGGCCAAAAAGACAATTTGGTCCATGGAGCGCTCCATGGGATACGACTCATGACCAAGGAGCTGGTGTGCGGCGTTGCCGGGGAGGAACTCTCATGAGATCCACCTGGAGGAGACGAATGCCAGTAGTCGTATGTGGTCGTCACATTCACTAGTTGGTGAGAGAGCAAAGCCTGCACAAAGAGAGAGAGAGAGGGAGAAACACAAAACATAAGGTTCCATGAAAGGCAAGGATTGGCTGAGCTCTGTGTTTATCTTTTTCTCAGGCTCACAAGATGTTACATTCTCTGCAAAACCGCGGAGTCGCCGGCAACGTGAGGTGTCGCCGCAGAATCCCTTGCTAGCTTGACATGTTCGAAAAGCGTGGGCGTTCTCGTGGATCTCCACGCTGATCCACAGAACTGGGGTTCTTCCGAATCTGCAGCAACTCAGCAAGCACCAAATGCCACCCCAAAACGGCCACCCAAAACTGTTTCTGCTAGCAATGCAACATACAGTAATGTAAGACTATAATACACTACAGCATATTAATCTGGCTATGCGATGCTGCGATACCACTGAAACCTTCTAGACAAACTAGCTCTCTCGGTGATTGAACCAAGCTCTCACTGTAGATCAACATGCTCTTTTGCGGACCCAAATGTTTTGTCCAAGGACCCTGAAATCTACCAGCCCATCCGCTTGTCAAACAACAATGAAAGCTCCCAACGCGATATAAACGTATTCAATGGTTGTTTGATGTTGTTAGTGGGGTTCTACCACTCTTGATCTCCACTATAACATCTATCCTCCCTCGAAGATTATCACAGAACAAGCGCATGGCCCTCCAAGAAGACGACTTCTGTACTACCTTTGTCATCCTTTATCTCTTGCACCAACATGGCCGAAACAGTCAATCTCAGGCCGCAGCCCGTTTCACATCGCTCTCGCCTCTCCCATCCATCCGTCCCGTGACCACCGTGACCCCCTCTCCGTCCAACCAAGTCACATTGGAAGCATTCGAAGTGACGCTACAGGTGACACTGATCCGACCTCAACGAAAAGCGCATGGACTAGTGAAGACATCAAGTTATATCCACTTCAAAATAACTCCGACTCACTCAATCAAACAAAGAGCATGGAGGCTGTCTGCTTTCTTTCGGCTTATGGACTTTCCTTGTGGCATGTGAAGGCCAACCATGTTTTTGCATCGCAACAATCAAGGCAAATGGAACATATCATATATCTCTATAGTAGGCAAATGTAGACAACCATGCATGCCCAAAACAGGAAACTGTTGTGCTGCTACACCATGTACATCAAGTCTTTCCGGCTGCACCAATGCTATAGTATGCTATAGTAAAATATCCGGGTCCAGGATATTCACGCGGCTGCGCCAAGAGGTGGTCACCGAGTCCAAGCATCGCACTATGTCGGCTGCCAACACTCTGTCCAGTTCGACCTGCAGAGGGCACGGTGTTCGGCTCCGTTAGCCTCGACTAAGCCTCGACTAGTCGAAGGAGTTTAGACACTGGTGATTCTTGAATTCAAGAGGCGATGCTTCTTTTTGGATGAGGGAACTGATTGAACTTCGGCAACATTCATGAGTCCATGTCCCAAAGAAGAAATACAGTACTCATCAGTACTCTCTTTCTTCACTGCTTGTCTTCCTCCAGAAAAGGCAAGAATAGCAAAGTCTGCTCCTTTCCTCTCTTCCTTCACTGCTCTCTTCCTTCAGTGTCTGTGGCTGTCTGTCTCTGTGTTGCCTACTACCCCCCCTGACAAATCCAGCTGAGAACCCCCACAGGTGCTGGTGCTTTGAGCAGTGCTTGGCCGTTCCATAGCAGGTTCCTATAGCCGGAGGGTCCAGCCGGAGGTCCATTCACCCGATTCACCGGGTCTGGTGACTTATATGGAGGAAGATGAGTCACGATCGCGATGAGGCCTGACTGACGGAAACCATCTTCACCTGACGTAAACCGGATCGAACTGGAACTCTTTCGGGAGAGGGCGACGCCACCGGCGAAGGGTTTTGGAGCGAAGAAGGGCAATAACACCTTCTTCGCTATCTTACACTTTGGAGTTGTCTTACACCATGGATGTTTCTCTTTATCCGACGTGGGTGTCAGTTTCCATGGCAAAGAAGTTGCGAAACACGCCAGCCTGCCAGCTGGCGTAGCGAGTGACGCCAGCAGTCACTCGGGAACCGTCTTTCCAGTCCACCACATCTTCTGTGTGATACTCAACAGCCCAAGGGCACCTATGAAGTCAACAAGTTCTCCTTTGTGCTTGAAACAGAACCACCAGAACTTCAAAGGAGTTGTGAGCAAAACGCCGGTGAACGAACATGTTTGCACATCATCTCGTCCGCTGACTCACGGCGGGGGTGAGAGAGCAAAGCAGGAAAGTTCGGCAAAGTAAGATAGCCCGTGAAGTGGTTTGAACTCTCCAGAGTGGGTATGGCACAAACATACTGTTTCCATATGTTTCCATTTTCCACGACGCCGCACCTTCGTGTATGGGCTCAGGCCGATGAAGGAAAATATCGAATAGTCGTCAAGGTCAAGATCCAACACAAAATGAAGCTCGATCTGGATAGAAAGCTTGTGACTCCGCACTTTCTTCTTTGCTTGTGCTGCGCTCAAATCTACAAGGCACTGCGAAAAAAGCTGATTGGTCCAGACGGCAGCAAACAAGCGGTGGACTCTATATAGTGGGGCATTTTTGCATGTTAATCCGTGGATGAGCACCATGTGCTCACCCCTGGCGTGGAAGTCTGAAGATCGGCGATTGCACACGCAAAGCTGAGTATAACATGCAAACGCTTACACATGACCAGCGCACGTCTGACAGCTCGAGCAGAAATGATTTTCAAAGCTAACAGCAGGCATCGGACATCTGGGCCCTGAAAATAGGCTGCGAGATGCTTGAAAAAATACCTCGCGCCACCATGTTGCGACCTTGGGTCGCCAAAGAAAGGTCTTGCCGGCATAACGCGACAACAAATCCTGGCATGACCGGTTGATGTGAGAACACAGAAGATCACTGAAGTGTAGTATTGGTTCTTCAAATTGGCCGAGTTGCTATCCACAGAACTTCACTCGATCATTTACATTCCACTCCTTCACGGGCTCGGAGGCTACTACCCTAGTCAAGGAATCAACAACCAATTGAGGTCTGCCGGGACAGACTGTTAAAACAGCATGATGGACCCTCTGAAAATCCAGCAGTGGACTGGAGAATGATAATTCTTGCACTCCAGTCAGGCTGGCAGCACGGCAGCATAAATCAAACACGTGTTGTTCAGTCCTTTGAGGACATGAGACGAGCTCTACGTCCGGGACGTCTGGTTCCACCATTGTCAGGCACCGCAGCTTATTGAGCAAACGTCCCCTACTCGTAGCAAAAGTCTTTGCTTAAATGCACAAAAACAGGCATGTTCCAGTGCGGAGCCTGACCTTGGCTGCCAAAAAAGCAGCAAACCAAAGGGACCTTCAAACGTGGCTCTGAAAAATATCCGGCAGTGATCGGCAGTGTAACCGCTAGGAATGTTTCGAGCGACTTGCCAGCTGAACAAATGTCATTTCTGGCGAACACGGCAAAACGCAGCTCTCCGTGGTTCCGTATCTTCAGTCGGTGCATCAGCAGTCGGTGTATCTTCAGGAATCTGGGGACGAAATCATCGAATCATACACATTCATCAACAAAGCCAATGGCCTCAAACAATAAAAACAAGATCGACTGGTCTCTAAAAAACCAAGCTCGACTTGCACGTGATCGACTGGGGGCCCCTCTTCACACAGAGCGACTCCTGCCCTCTCAGAGCGACTCCCGCGGTCTCCTTCGACAGCAAAGCCTGCCAGGCTTCACCGCTGGATTCGGGGTGCGTTTGGAGGCCTCGCCCCACGGCCTCCCGACGATCCATGTAAACATGTGGTACAAATATATGCCTGGCCTAGATATTCGGCAGTTTTGGGAAGGTGAATGTATACGTTATATGTTGTTCCGGCGTTGTGTGCGTCATTGTCTGCAAGTCATAATTCACTTGTACATGGATTGCTCTTCCCTACAGGTTCTAGCCTCACCCCGGCACTGTGGGACGAAGTCATCGACCCCAACGACCTCGTTTCGGCCTTGTTTCGCCGACTGGTCCTTTTTGGAGGGAATCCAACATGAGTGCAACTCTGTTCCTTTTGGATTCATTCATATCATGAATCCGATGAAATACTGCTGGGCATAGAGTGGAATTGGACAGGACCTTCGGAGGCCCTCTGACCATCTCCTACCTTTGAAAGGTTTTGAAGAGACGCGATGATCCCTAGGACCTAGGTGGGCAGGAAGTGGATCGGCCTTTGGGCATGTGGGTCGATGTCCTCCTGCATCCTCATGTCCCTTAAATTAATGAATCATTTACCAGGAACATTGACCATGGATTGGCATCTAAGGTCTTCACCTACAACCACAGTAAGACAACCAGTTTTCCTTGGAATCTCCTTCTTGTCCCACTTGTGAACACTCAGGATCGATTTGGGCCATCGTCATGTGAGGCAGAACAATGGACCGACTGGCCTAGAAGAAAAACACGTGACCGCATGGGAACATGGCCAACAACAATGGTCTTAACCTCTACCGGTCCTCCTTGGCTCCTTAGCTCCAAGGGGATCCAATGGAGACCCCTGGCTCATCAAGAAAGAAAGCACCAACACCTTTATTCCTTCTGGGTATATATGTCCAATAGATACATATACTGTATATATCAATATCAATCTGATATCATTGAATCGTATTTATCTACTTTTGACGTCCAATTATACCGCCGCCATCCTCCATCCCAAGGAATTATGGCCCCAAACCAAGCGGCGCTGCTCCGCGCCTCCAGCGCCTAGGCGGCTTCCAGCCCAATAAATCGCCCACCTCGGAGGACAGAAAACGCTGGGCCGTCTGGGCCATGGGAATTTGCTTTTTGCACCTGTGGCCCATCAAACTGCAGTTTCAAACCTTGTTTGGTTAGGTTCATTCTAAGAATTGTAGGGTCAAAGGTGCATGGGGTTGGGTCATTTTGGGTGGCAGGGCAGATCTTCAACCAGCTTCAAATACTAAAAGAGTGGGTGTTCGAAGTACTTCGTCACCTACAAGGACCCAAACCATGGAGCTGTAGGTCTAGGAAAACAACAGTCTGGACTTCCAGGTGGTTGCTGATGAGATATATATCGCTCAATTGAGAGAACCCATTCGTGAGTGCTCTGCCGCTCTGCCCAGCACTGTTGGCCTGTCATGGTCCGTGCACTGTACCATCCCGTCAACAAACCATATCTTAGTTTGATGGAAGAGATTAGACTTGCCTAGAACCACACATCCATGATTGATGGTACAGAAATTAACCGAATGGAATTGCATGACAAACGCTTGGGATCTGATGGATCATGGTGAACCATTGTGGACAATGACTCTTGGACTAGGATGTGAAAGATTGAACGGCATGCTTGAAAGCAACGGGTTGGTGGTTTCAGCTCACTTGAAAAATATTAGTGAGTGGGTTCAATCATCCCGAGTACAGTATACTCGCAAGTATATAAAGGTCAAAAGTAAACGTATTTATATAAAACCACCATACACCCCCCCAAAAATGGTCCGGTTTCCCCATAGTCTGAGCTTCCCTGACAAAGTATTTAGGAGCTCTGCGGACAGCGTTCCCTGCTGCATTGTGCCAACCTGGGTGTCGTAGGCAAAGGATGTCGGTTTCCTTCACTGTTACTATCAACTGCCAGCTTCTGAAGAGACATTCAAGATTCCACAGCAATGCAATGCCAATGCCATACTCCAAAGAACATTGCAGCAGTTCTACTTCATGGTCAGGTCCATGGTCTATGGAGCTTCGCGACCACGTTCCGTTCCCATATATAAATTATATATATATAATTACCACCAAAAACACCCAACGATACCCAACGATACCCACGGACCTGCAAAACCAAACACCGAGTCCCAAACTGGAACTAACCAATCGCCACGGTCTCCATATCTGTAACGACCTCCATGGAGCTGGACGACCGACTTCTGGGTCGCCCAAACGAACAAAGCGATCGCCCGCATCGGATCCGCTCCTCGGGTCGCGTGGCGAACGAGCGCAGGGTGCTTTACCCGAGGAAGAAGGCATGGAGAAAGGCGACCACGGTGGGGTGGACACCGGGAAAACCGAGTGGGTGAAGCGTGTGGGGGGTGTATGGTCACTAGTATGAAACATCTGGGAGCATGAAGTGGGTTATAGATGTGGAACTTCTGCCAGAAGTTTGAAGGCCACAAAAATTGGAACTGGATTAATGACAGGATATTGAGCCCACAAATCTGGACAGTTACAATGTCGCGGCAGCAACGTGACATGCTTGATGACACTTTCAGGTGGAATCGATCCCGGACTTGGGGACAGTTTCAGATTCGATGCACGGTTGCGCTGGAACAGTTTCAGCTTCCGGTTGCGGAGGGATGACGTATTTCAACAAAATACACCATTGTCTAAATATGTCTAAGTTTGAGTCAAGCAATTGCAGCTATACATGACCACGCATCAAATATACATATTTTTGCAAACAGAAAGCAACAGAAAACAAAAGCAACTGAAAATGCAAAAGCAAAGCAATTTGCTTTGTCGTTGCCTTATTTTGCTCGTTGTTTGCATTTCTTCTGGTACCATTTCTGCACTGATGAGAACTTTTGCCCGTCAGCCATATTCGCTGCACGCTCCTAGGAAAATCAACATGTGAAAGCGACACAACTGTGAAAAAAATATGAAAACTACAACAATAGAAAACATGCAAAACTGCATTTGTTGTTGCTTTACCTTTAAATTGTTTGCTTTGTTTTTGCTTTAACTATCTTTAAATATCTTTAAGATTTTAAGCATGTGTTTTGGCTCCTTGTTTCTATGGCTGCCGCGCCTGTCTCAAGTCGAAATCCCTTGCTTGGTCCTAGTTGGCTTTATATAACCCACCTCATGCGGTGCTTTTCCATCGCTCATTGTCCTTGCTAATCCTTCACATTGCAAATTGCACATGAAGAAACTGACAGCCTTTGGTGTGACCTCTTAATTACAGCTGGTCTTCCTCCAGATCTTGTGACCCTCTTGCTGGGATGACTTGAATGACTTGCGTAGAAACTTGTAACAACTGGCCCATTCCTCAAGAAGAATAAGTAAATCTTCACTCTGAGCTTCCAACAGTTCAAGCTGCCGCAGCAGAATCGCTGTTCCGCCCGGGTGCTTCGCCTGTCACTTCATGTTCCTCTGTGAGCTCTGTGAGCCCACCTGATAAAGAGTGCGCATACCGTGCTCAAACAGCAAAGAGAACAGAATACCCAAGGAGGTTTGAGGCGTCGCGAACGTGCCCAACCAACAGCTCTGTGGCCTCCCACGGAAGGAGTCAACCGAAGTATGGTTATATATGCAGTCTCAGGCTATAGCGACTATACTTGTCATGATAGTCATGGTCAACTCCAACAGGATGTGGCAGGACGGAGTTGATTTGCATGACCATATTGGCCACCTACCGAGTCTCAGGCTAACAAAATACCCAGCCTCCTCGCGGAGGAAGGGCCCCATGTCGAAGACCATGCCATTGATCATGACCCAAAAGTCCTGGCCATGCTACTTTCACTTCAAAGACATACAAACCAACATGATCCACATGAGCGAGGCCGAAGGATTTCAATCACATAACACGTTGTGCCTTTTTCCACTTCTTTCCACTTAGGACAGTCCGGGACAGTCCCTACGTCTCGGCAGAAGTCCTTCTCCGGTCAAACTCAACAAAGGCCCCAAAGGCTCCTAAAAAGGCTCCAAATAAGTCTATGGGATGGCCACCCGGCAGCTCCTCCTCGCTGGTGTGCTTTTTCATCTCCTCCTCCGTCACGGTGGGCCTCTTCTCACTGCCTTTCGCACCCCACCTGGGTCCCACGGTGCGCCCCACGGCGAGTCCGCGGAGCCTGACGACGCACGCGCCGGTCCTGTCCGGTTCCCCCGAGCTCGCTCAAAGCCCCCTTTTCAGCCGCCAAAGACCCCTACTTCAATGCCACTCCCTGGTCAACTGCAGTGAAGAGTAGTGGAGACTTCCGAACACTTTTTGCTGGGAAAATATGGACAAATACCTGACATACATACCTGGGAGACCCGCGTTCTTGCCTGAAAAAGGTTCCAACTCCGAAAAGGTTCCACTCACACATCAGCACCGTTTTCACCTCTGCCGCTGTTCCAACCCTTAAGTGCCCGACTTTTTGGTCACCAGCAGATCCAACCTGAGTACAAGTTTGAAATGGAGCTGGCTCAACAAGGTTGGATCCTTACAAACAAAGGATTTAGTGCAATCCTGACCTTGATTCCAAAAAACACGTGAAGCTGGTCCGTTGCATGGAGTCGGAATGGAGAGCAAGAACAAAGGTCGGACTTGGTCCCTTTCCAGCAAGAGCAAGCCTTCTCCTTCGGGTGCTTAAGAAGGGATCCACATACCCTCTGTTGGAATGTAGCTGGACCCTTTCATTGACATCCCCATTCCCTAGCATCTTCTGAGGCAATAGAGCCAAGGACTTTTTGGGTGTGCTGAAAGAGGCCAACACATGACAAATGACCAAACACGAAAAGCTCCCTTGTTTTCATCAATGACCAAACCGGGCCCTTTCACAAGGTGACCATCGCGAGGTACTCGCCGTATCCTTTGAAGGGTGTTGGTTTGAATCGATGGGTGTTGGCCGTGCAGCACATGCCAGGCTATGCAGTATTCATCTCGTCCTGAAACCCTACTTTTCACTCGCATCCGCGGATCTTGAATCCGCTTTCTCAGTAAGTAGGGTTGTTCCCTAAACTTTCAACACCCGCACCATGTTGCAGTCCTTTTCATCCGTTCCCTCGTTGGCCCAACCCTTAAGCGCTCAGGCTTTCGGAAGACGGTCTCCTCCTTGGTTCCACGGGTCGTCTCTTCCTGGCGACGAGAAACCTTCCACGGATCGAGCCAAGAACCTGCGGTGGGTGCTTTCATGTAGGCTGCTTTGGCTGTCCTGAAGATTGACATGCCGCAAAAACCTTTGAAGGACCATGAAATAAAAGCTCACTAGACCACACAAGCATCATTCTACACAAGGTAGCCAGCACCTCACCATACCTCACCCACATCCGAAAACTCTTTTACTGGCACCTGAAACATTTGTTGAACTAATTCGAACATCTTGGAACCACAGCCATTTGACCAAAGCATGTTGTCGTCTCTTCTGCACACATCTCTGAAATCAGTGTTGTTGTTTTACAAACAAATCATATGCGTAGAAAGACTCAGAACTTGAGTTTTCGAAAGGTCAACTGCACCTTGACCCAACTGACTTCAACTGACAACAAAATATGTGTAGACATCGTCACATCGTTTGTCAACTCTCTCTGACTGACCCACCGGCGAAACTGAAAAATCTGAATAACACAAACTCATGAATAGATAGATAGATAGATAGACAGACAGAACGACAGACAGATAGATAGACAGTTTTGCAACCAAAGTCATCCCCTGAGGCTGCGTACCAAGTCATCCTCGTTTGCTCCTTCAGCTTCCTCCCAAATGGTATCTACAGAGTCACCTTGGCACATGTGAAGATGCTTCATGATCTGGAAGCCTCTTTAATCAACAGCTTACTATATGACTATATAATTACAACAATCAACAATACTTACGTGTCAGTGATGCTAAATGATCTCAGCTGTGAACATTACATGGGCCGTAAAACATTTGGTGTGTACAATGCATTGCTACAATCTACCTCACACAGGTCATCTTTCGACATTCTGCGATAAACGGCGATAAAGAAAGCCCTTTGTGGCCCGGTCAAGGGTGTCCACATGCCCAATAGAACACTGGGTGTTCACCAGGTTCCGGGTGTGGGCCAAGTCTTCAAGTAGGGTGACCGAGTCCGCCCCATGACCCATTTGGGTGCGAAGCCAAACCATGCAACAACCCTGGAACACTCAGCTTCTCCCCATTGAAGTCATCCACCTTCTCAGCATCCTGAACGGCTAAGTCACTAAGTCCCACTTTCCTGAACTGCTAAGGTCTGGAACTTGACAGGTCCTTTTGGGACAATTCGAGGGGTCGATGCCAGGTACGATGCCTGGTTGACGACCCTGGGGGTATCCCCTCTATTAATGAACCTTTGGCCATCCACGGGAACCGACGTTTGCATTGGAAGTGTGCGATGATTCTTGGAGCAAAGGCCATGTTCACCGCAAAAATGACCGCTGGGAGCCATCCAGTAAGAATTGACCCCCCTCTTTTCTTCCTGAACTGCTCCGGATCTTCCTGGGTGTCCTCGACCACTGCGCGCTCTCCGCATCTTGTTTTCGCCTGCTCTCCGGTCTCCCTCAGCGGTCCCATTTGTTTCGCCAGAAAACCCTGGACCGACATATTTCTTGAATTTTTTGACATGCCAAATAGACCCTAAAATACCAACAAGGTCCATCCCAGAAGTCTCTGCAGGCCAGAAGTCTATGGGGTTGATTGAACAGCTGTCGGGTTCCTTCAGTTTCATTCCATACGCACTTGACGCACACAGCTCAAACTCAGGCATCTAGAAAGCCCTTGTACAGTGCCACTGACCTTAAATCACGTAAATCTCAAGGGGTCTCAAATACCATGTGCTCAAAGCAACTCAAATATGGCAGCACGAGAACACAACTGTTTTCCGGAGGAAGGTACGGTCCAAGGTCCAATGTCTCGTCCACCCCATCATCGCGGCCTTCTTTGCCCTCTGAGATCCTCTTCCCCACGATCACGGCCTGGACTCGCAGACGATGGTGAAGACGAAATGAAAACAACATGAATGGGATGATCTCCATTGATCTCCCGGATCTTCACGGATGCAATGTTGCGTTCAGTCTTGACAAGATCTTCACAAGATTCCACATCCACAAGTCTTGGGATAGATCCTCAACAGCCAACCAATGGAGATGCATGTGTACGCGGTCTCAATCTAAACCAAGTTCAGGACAATGATTTTGCTGCATTTAACATTACTTGGATTTGATTCAATCAATACTTTTTTGACTGTTACTGGGTGGGAGAACCCAACAAATGACCTGGCACAGCTCTCAGAACCCAGCTGGAGATGTAGCAGTGCCCTCCTCGGGCGATGTGGCAACGCCCTCCTCGGGTAGACTGACTGACGGGCTCCCAGAGTGACGTGGCAATATGTACCAAACAAATCCCATGGCATACACATCTAAGTTGCTGAGTGATACACACAGAAGTTTCAAACTTAAAGCTTTTTACGTTTGGCCTGAAGCTTTGACTTTCTGGGCTTTTTTGACATGCAAAGGATCCCCAGACATCCTAAAACCCAACAATCTCAGCTAGGGATTCACTTAGCTTGTCTCTCTATCTACTTGAGGGGCCCAAAAGAAACACATGCGCCGGCCGTCCATGCCGGGACATGCCCGTGCCGGGACATGCCCCGGTCCGCGGCGGGACCGGCTCCGCTCCCATCCTCCAAGTCGGCCATGGTTGCGGTCAAAGAGCCCGGCAGCTCGGCCTACGAGAGGTCTGGCGACTCGTCGGACTCCCGCCGCAACTCTTCGGATGAGACCGAGGAGACCCAAATGGAAATCAACATCATATGAGTCAAACAAGAACTATGGGGCATCATACTAGATATTCCCTTCTTTGTGATGATGTTGGTTCATATATGTTGCTAGACTCCACCTGAATCAATCCCTATGGCTATATATATATATTACATCTAAGTCTATATATATACTTTGACTTGATCAATTTCATATTCAGTATTCATTGTCAAAAGGGCCTAAGGGAATTAGACTAAAGTTCGCTACTAAAGGAACATCCTGGTGATCCCTCAGAAGAACTCTTTTTCAAAGAGTCAAATGGCCCTAACGAACAACAACGTTGATTGTGAATGGATGTTCAAGCATAGCCTCTGCACAACAAACATGGTTGAGTGAACAATGATACTGTAACAAACCATGTCCGTGCCCCTTTACAAAGGTGATCATTTCGCTTTCATCGGTGCTAGTTGGAGGGTGACAAAGTTGTTCACAGTTCCGGGATAGGAAACACTCATTGTTTGATACTAAATTGATGCTGCCTGTATCTGCTGAACACTTTGTTTGTACGAATACCTTGCCCTGACTCTAATGCCCATCCGAAAGGAACTTCTCAGAACGATTGGCATTCACTATTCACTTTGCTCTCGAGGTGCTCGTCTCTCAATCTACTAGCTGATATTTAGTCTGTGACATCTACTCGGCGGGCTGAAAACAACAGCAGTTCGGTCATGTGTTTTCCATTGCGACCTATCCTCCCAATCTCAGCCCAGGGGCCATTCACCAGCGCTGACCATCCAATGTGGTGAGCTAAGAGTGGGAGATAATAAATCTTATAGATAGCTCGACTCCCTAAAGATGAGATAGCACTTTTAGACAAGAGCTGGACATCCTGTGCACCCACAGTATGTCTACATTTGCATCATGTTGCATCTGCAATGATCGCTGAGCCTCATGCGCACAAGCAACATGCCGACATGTTGGCCAAACATCTTCGTGCAATATGTCAATGGGTCAATTACAAGTACAAGGTAAACTAACGTGATGAGGTGCATTACCCACTTATTGGATGCCTAGCAAAAACCTATATAATCAAACATCGCCTTGCCCCGGAGATGCTGTTCCAAACGGCCTGTGAAAATGACTCTTTCCTCCTGACCCTAAAGTATCTTGAAGTGACATCCGCGCCCATCGTAACTTGGAGCCTCGCGAGCCTTGAGAATGAGTCAAGCCTTTTGCCGAAAGACGGCACGCAGTCGATCCTCTGGTTCAGACAGTACTACTGTGACGCAGGGTCCTGCTGACCCTGTCCTGTACAAGCCGTCCGTTGCGAGGCGAATTGGCGTTTCAGAGCTCAGACATCTCCTTCCTTCAAAGGGTGAGTCATTGAGCTATATAGATCGGTGAAAAGTTGACGAAGAACCGACCAGTGACCCTCCAAGCGGTGTTTGTTTTTTTCCGCGTCTCCAAGCGTCAGTAAAGGGATACAAATCGAGGATACTGCCAGGATTTGTTTCTGGCATACTATTTTTTGACTAACTCAAAGTGCAAAGTCACGGAGTCTTTGTTTTGTCTTGACTTCACGATATTTTCACAAAACAACGTATCTTCTTGTGACTTCCTTTAACTCTCATCACCTTCCACTCCCTTGGCCTGGATCACTCTCCGGATCGTCGGCTCTCAGTCCAGGCCACACACGGCGAGGTCGACCCGACCCACCACGTTGGCGCCAATCCTGGGGCTTTCGGTCGACCCGTGGAAGCGGACGGCGAACCGAACCACGTGGCGTTGCACCGCTGTGACCAGTTGTCTCGTCCTGATGCCTTTTGAATGAAGGGCTGGTCGCATCGAGTAAGGCCCACAGCAGCCATGTGAACATGCCCCAACATGCTGGAGGTTTGCTCTGTGGTGGTAAAATTAAACAAATATGTGCATTGACTTTGGATGAAGACTTGCATGCCGTCCGAGCAGTTATGCCAACCCATCTGCAGCCATAATTGTTCCAAGAGTTTCTGGCTACGAGGAATCTAGTCAGAAGGGGATTTTACCCTTTCGACTGGCCGTTAAAGCAAAACAACAAACAAAACACTATCATTAGATGCCCATAGTTTCCCAAAGGACCATCTTCCAGAGAGAACACGTGTCGACGACTGCTTCAGCGGCGGCGCTTGCTTCGTCCAGGCCACCCGTTCGCCGCACGGACCCACCACGACGTGTCCGCCACGGCGGTGGACGCTCCGGGAGCCCCGGCTTCGCGTCCAGGCGTTGCTTTCGGCGCTCCAGGAAGTCGCCGAAGCCGGGCATCGCCTGTGCGCGGAAGGTCCGTCTGTTCAGGTGACAGGCGACAGGTCCAGAAAGCAAGCAGAACAGGGACAGGAGCAAGATACAGTAGATTAAAACAAAAGTAGATGCACATCCCAAACCCAGATCAATCATGTTATAATATCAAAAAAGTAAACACATATACTGTGTCAACGTGATGACTAATATACTGTGCATTTACTTCCCCACGTTGCGCTTCCTGCCTGGAGCTTCAAACGATCGATGGGATTGCCTTTGAGCCAAAGATCGCTGAGGCTCCTGGCCGTCCAAAGAGCGATACGGACCGCGCGTTGAACGATGAACCCGAAACAACGTGTTTACACCTGTTTGACATATTTATAGCTATACTATGCTATACTGATAGTCTATCCGATCCTTTGAGAGCAAGACTTGGGGATCACTACCAACTAACTACTGTACAGTATCGTAGATGCACAAGCTCCACCATGTCCGGTGCACAAGGTCCAAGGCAAGTTTAGTCTGTTAAACTTGTTGGTCCAGCTCCAGCTGTGCACACCACAGACTTCCCACGTCGAACTTCCATCCTGGAGCTCTCACATGGATGATCTACCCCAACCAAGAACCATCCCTTGCGATTGCAACGGAGTCCTTACACACGTTTGACCAACCAACACACATCAATCCTCAAAGCACATGTGTTAGCATCTCTTTTGGGAGCCATCACCTAATACCTTGATCTAAATTATCTATAGAAATCTAAAATTGCCTTTGGAGCCTCCCGAGGCGTTATTGACCGTGTCATGCCTTTTCCACAGTCTCCAAGTTTCCAAGCTTTCCCATGCTTGACCCGTCAACCCCGTCCGGTCACCTAAATCTCCATGCCGGGTGCACGGGGTCCCTGCGATGATGGCTTCTGGGATTGCCGTCCTGGCCGCGGAGGCTGGAGGTGTGTCGAAGAGTGGGAGCTTCCCCCCGACTCAAGTCGTTTGGCTTTTTGATGGTTGCTTCTCCCCAAGGGTCTGTCTCGGGATCACCCTAGTGTAACATACACTCATGTGTAGATTGCTGGATGCCTAGGTGAGGAAGGAAGCACCGATGTAGATTGCGAAGGATGTGTTTGTTGTTTTCCGCTAGATGGCGAAGACTTCAGATGAAAACTGTGGGTTGTGTACCAGGTGTCAGCACATAGATAATTCTAGTATATTTTAATGTACTTAGTTGGTCATCAAAGTTCTGTGACTTCCGCTTGAGAATGCCCTTCATCAAGGCCTGAGAATCCGCTCAACACAGCAACCACATCGGAAGTGGCTTGCCAACGTGGCTCCTCGTCTTCCAAACCCTTCAATTCTGTGGATTTCCATATTATATGTGTTTGGGAAGGATAACGCAAAGGGATATAGAAGGATGGAAAAGGAAGTGCCCTAGGCCTTCTTAAGTGGTGCAAAGGCTTCTCCACCATCTTTGATCCCAAGACTTCAGCTGGGCTGACAGTGAGTTGTCTGCGGCGTCCAAGTACTGCAGCTTGGACAACCTATCAAGCTTGGACATCCAGTGGCTGATGGGAGTCCTTTTACTGGAGTGGCGACGTGCCCGTAGATGATGTCCTACCCCTGGGGGTCATTGGAAGCACCGTAAGCAAGAATGCGCAGAAAAGGGGATCCTCACCATTTGGAGCTGCGAATTCTTCGCACGCGACGTCATGGGGGTTAGAATATTATTGAATTGAACTGGTGGACAACGGCCGAGTCTGAAAACTCTAAACGAGGTACGTAAAGCAAGTATTGGTCAACTGTGGCCGAAAGGACACATCCAAACACATATAGTTGCAGAGTGGTTGCAGTGACATGCCAACACGGCATGCGGATGTATTCCAGTATAGCTATTCGTCACCTGGTGGATGTACTTCTGTCTGCGGTGTCCGAATCATCCAGTCATATCCTGCAAGTCATGTGGGCGCTGCGACGACACGTCGCCGTCTTTGAGAAAAGTGGCAGGAGTTGATGTGTCAAGACGTTTACTGTTTACTACGAAATCAGGGGTTTGACACCTATACATCGGTAGCAGCTTCCTCAAATCCTAGGAGTGAAATGAGATCAGTTTGTCCTTGCACCAGGGCACAAATTGACCAACCCCACAATGGAAAGACATGACATACTCTACAAATGCCCACATCTGCCTTACTTGCTGCTCAAATAGACATCAAATAGACTTCATGACACCCAGTAATATATTCTGGGAGTCCAAGACCATGTTTAAAATTGTCTGTGGACGATCCGAAAAGGGCATATTCTTTACTTCGCTGGTGCCAAGAATGGTCTTTGGACCTTGAAAAACATGGCCCTGTCAGTTTCGCTGTCGGGTTTGGGGCCCCACTGGCCCAGCTGCTCCGGCAGGGCGGCTAAGCGGTTCTTGCTGAGAACCAAGCGTACCTCAGAGGCACAATGAACACCATAGCGCATTTGATAGGGGTCACGATATTGACTTAAAGAACAGCAAATCGACAAATACAAGAGTCGTGAAATCCTTGAAATACCAGATCCGAAGAATTGTGACACAAACATGAGATAGCGCCAGTGGCGCATTCAAATGTCTGTCGGAGCAATTGCAGTGAACAAGCACATGAGATAAAACCCATCTGTGGTGATCTAAACGTTTAGCACGTTCTCAGGGTCGGAACCGCATGTTCACTTCCCCTTCCATGTGAATGTGTTCTTGAAATGCTCTGTACCAAAGCTGCTCTGATTGAACTGTCTCAGCCAATTCAGGAACAAAAGGACACACATGTTTCCTCCACGTGGAGGAAACAGCGTTCCCACCATAAACCAACATGCCACGCATGTTACAAATACCGATGCTTGGAGATCAGCGGGCCTTCAGTAATACTAAGATATACCTCGGGAAACACACCAACGACTCCAACGACCAACCATGTGCATCTTTTTCCTCCAGCAATCGAACATTTGTCTTGTACATAACATGCGAGAAGTCTCCTCAGCTGAACATCAGCGGCGATGACTCGCGATTGATCGATCAATCTCTTGAAGTGGCTCAAAACTCTCAATGCAGGAATTATCTGCAGACTTATTTGATGCACAACAAGTACAAAAAGGGGTTCAGCCCTCAAGCTTGAGACATATCTTTTATGTCGAGTTCGCGATAAGCACACGAGGCATTCATGTGTAGAAGAATGTGAACGCACCTAAAATCTCCTGAACACATCTTCTGAGATCTATACGTCTATATATACTGTATACAGTACTCTGTCCATCCCCTCTCCAGAGAACCTGTAGACCCAACTCCTCATGGGCGGTAGCATGCCATGCCGGCGGTCCCAGCGTCTTTGCTTCTCTGTAGGCCTTCCGCCGCTCTTCAAGAGCCTGCACAGGGATTATAACAGTTAAATAAGGTTGATAAGAAGGCATACGAACACTGTTGTTGACAGAAAGTAACAATAACTACATCTTATATACACGTACTTGGCCCTGAAACAATGTTATGCTAGATGCTGGAGTTACTCCAGTTGGTACAAGATCGACTCTTCCGCCTTTACTATATACGGATCTGCA